GTGAAAATCTCATAAAAATCATTTCATTTGGATAACAAAATGCTCACTACTCTTGTGTAGTGTGACGTGGTTTGGTTGCCAGTTTTGCCATTGGAATGGGCAGCCGTAGTGTGTTAAAAGCGTTTCGCAGATTTGCGTGCAATAGTTAAAGATTTTTTTTTATTATTTTTCTTTTTTTTTTTTCTATACTTTTTATTTGGACTGCATTTTCTTTAAACAAGCAATTCATATTATTGGGTTCTCTGCCTGTCTGCCGCATGCCTTCATTGTTATTCCATAGCAAACGAAAGTTTACTCTTGTGTGAAATGTTTAACGCCCACCAGGTGAAGTCTAAATTAAGAGATAAAAGTTACATTGAAAGTACAATCTATCTGGTGTGGCGGCTTTTTTCTTCACTAAGTTGGCTAGTTAGTGTGTTACATTTACTAATATCGTTTAAAATATTCATGACGTTTAAAAAATGCACACCCACTATACATTTCTGATTATGATCTAATTTCTCATTACACTCTACAGCCAATAAAGACGAAGCTACACTAAATTCGTACTAAATTGTTTAACAATTTTAAAATAATACACAGTTGGTAATGGATTTAATTTAAATAAATTATTATTATTCTATTTAGCAAATCATCTGTTTATGATATTTTGCAACGCTACTAATTCTATCACTGGCTCAATTCATAGAAAAAATAGAGCTTGACCAGTCAGAAAAGTTACTCCCCCTAAGATTATCAACTTAAGCGCATTCAAATTTGTGGTAGACAGTGGAATGGAAAACATTGGAATTGAAAATGGTATCATCTCTATCCAATGAAACAAGACTTTAACCCTTATTACCATGTGATCTTTAAGTCACAAAGGTAACTTACGTGGTTTTCGACCTGTTAAGAAACCACTTTTCGCTACAAAAATGCATTACAAATGTCTGAAGTGGTTTCAACAATCCGAATAGTAACTGATTACTTAATATAAGTCTAAATTCAGAGTAGTTGGTTCGGAAGAAAATACGCACATGTGCGGAAATAGACCAAGGGCGGACAAACAGAATAGTATTAAAGGAATTGTCAGACATAGACTGCTGAATGGAGTTGCATTATCAATCACAGAATTGGAAATCTACCATTATTTAATGGGACTGTTCGGTAGAACTAAATAAAAATTTCAAATAATGCAATCGAAGAGTATTTTTCAGCGGAAGATGTTTTTATTATTTAACATCACTCTGTGTCTTGTTAGAGTTAGAGTGTTGAGTGTTAAAAGTCCACACAAACAATTTTCAATTGTTATATATCAAATTGTTGATTTTTCAAAAAATATATATGGACTTTTGGTGATAGATTTATATTCATTCCAGTTCAGCCACTGTTATATAACGAAATACAGATAAAAAGAACATGCCTACAATGCGTAATTTTGATCTGATTATCGAAAAAACATATTATCTGTAATATAACGAAATCTCAATCCAGTCTTAATAGAATTCATGTTTTCGTCCGCTTAAATAAAAGGTGTTATAGATAGAGCCGCTACAAAGTATTAACTTATGTCTAAGCATAATACCAAAGTTGATTCTAATTAAATATAATTCAGATTTGATAGATTCTTTTAAGCAATTTTAAATTTTATGTGAAATTCATAAATCAAAATCAGGTTAGGTTAGGTTGAAGTGACAGCCTTGTGCACCAAAACTCACTTAAGCACAAATAGTAACTTTTGTAAGTAAATTTTTAGCCTTTTGTAATACCACGTATGAAAGCCTATACCTACATTAAACCTATAAAACCATCTTAAAGGTAGAATTTCCAAATATCTAAAGCGCGAACAGCATTACTTTGTGAAGCCATCATTTCTCCCAATTCAAATAGAATGGCGCCAACCTGATAAGTACAACTTAATACAATAACTCAAAGAGAGCATAATTAAAAATTCTTTGGTTCGTTTATAGTTTAAGATTGATTTCTATAAAAAAAAAACAAGAATATCTGCAACCCGTAATTTTTTGAAAAAATCTCATATTGTAAAAAAAAAAAATTTAATTTGAACAATTCTCGTTCCCATTTAAGTATAAAAACTTAAATACGATCAGGAACTCTTAGGTATTATAAAAAAAAGAACGTTTAAGGAGAAAAATTGGTACATGACTTGAGTAACTCAGATTAACTGCTCTTGAGATATTCAAAGTTTTTCGAATAAGGATCTTATATTTTGATTTTTATTATATTTTTGTTTGATCATCTTGATTAATATTTCTCTCAATCATTATCTTGAAATCATATAGGTTGGAACACCCCGTTTATATAAAAACATAAGCGCATTTTCGGCAGTTAGGATTTATAGATATTACATTTGAAAGACAACTAATTGCATACATTTGTAGACCGGATTTGTTTGGACTAACATAAATCCTCTATGGAAAAACCCTTACAATTAGTCCATAAATTTAGAGACTACTTTATTTACTTTACATATATATATATATAATATATATATATATAAATATATATATATTATATATATATAATATATAATAATATATATTATATATATATAAAATATATATATATATATATAAATATATATGGATATATTGAATATATAATAATAACTAGTAGAAGTGTATATATATATACAAAAAAATATATATATAAATATGTATATTGTTTATGTATTAAAAAGCAAATACATGTGCTAACAACGTAGTATATTTAAGTATATAGACTATAAAATCTTTACCCAGCGATGATATGCTTTAAGACGATGATATAACTTAATGTACTCAGTCTACATTATGTATATTAATATGAAGAAAATAAACATTTTAAAACTGTTATTGTTATTGACTATACTATACTAAAACCTAGTATTTTCTAAATTATTCAGTCATAAAATAAAAGTTTTTAGTGCGTATGAGTTACTGCTCATTATGTACGATACGATCACTTTTTGATCAATATATAAACATTTTGTCCGTCTGTCTATGTGGTTGGCTGGTTCGCAATAGAAAATTTTATTGGATACAAAAAACAAACAGCACAATAAATAAATAAAAAAAGAATGATAACAATAATTTCACAACATCTTTTCAATATATTTATGTTGGAGATATATTTAAGGCTATAAGTAATTATATTCACATTTCAAAAATTCAAAACTGCATGAAGCAGGAAAAGGATGAAGAAGGACGGCCAAGGAACAATTTTTGTAATTGAAAGTTATTGTTTTAAATTCTTTTATATACATACATATGTAAATATAGCAGAACACACAAAAAAGTGCGTTACTTCTTCTATTATTGAAACCCCAAAGGCAGCCGTAACAGGGGACGTCGTTAAAACACAAAGAAAAGAAGTTTGCAAAAGGAAATCGAGGAGTCTGAAAAAAAGTGGAACGAGTTGAAGATTTTGGCGAAAAACAAAATCAGATGGAACTGCTTTACTGAAGTACTATGCTCCAGTGGGAGATACAGGAACTGATAATGATTTCTATTAATCTTCTATCAGTATTAATTTCTATGCTATCATTTAAAAGTTCAAACTTTTTTAAAATAACAAAGGATGTTTGTGTTACAAAATACGATCATTAGGATTATTATCTATGGCTGAAAATGGAGTGAGTCCATGACAAAATAAACTTACTTGAAGAGAATACATGCCACATCAATATAACCTATATGAAAAATGTGAAAAATGAGCGCTCGACGGAGTAATCACAAAATTCATCAAAAACGTGCTACTGGAAAAGAAGATAGACCTGGTCGTAAGCTAAAGCAAAGAGTAATTTGGAAATCTACCCAATAAGAACAGAAGTGAGGGCTTCGATGCAGGTTCTATAAATAGCATACGACACGGATAACCGAAGAGTAAGAAATTCTCGCAGAAGTAATGCGAAAATGATTCCGGCGGTAGTCATATAGATAAGGATGAGGAGGTGTTTTATTCGTATAGTAAACAGTAGGAGTAACCATACCATTCTATCGACGGTAGGTTTGACGATGCATAAAGAATTTCATCTCCTCATTGTGGTTGAGGAGATGTGAAATTAAAAAAATTATCTATATGCTCCGTTTATTATGATATATTACTTGAGGATCAATCATTTTTTACTGCTACATAAAAATGTCTGAATAGACACATAAAGATACACCTTCGCTCTGGGTTCCATTATAATTAGAAAAGGGCTATTATCGCATGGTCACTCTTTTCGTTAATAAATGTAAGTTCGAAAAGAATACTAGCAGTGAAAAAACTATGTATACACAAATAAGACTCAAAAAAGAAGTTTCTTCAAGATATCACATAGCTTGAACATAGTTAAGTCACTAAAAAAAGGTATAAATACATGTAAAGTTGCTGGGTAGCCTTATTAATCTTGTAATTAGCATTCAGATTAGTGCTATTGAGAACCGAAGTCGATTCTAGTCTTTGCGATAAAGTTTGGTCTTATAATAATATAATAATAAAAATCTTATTTAACCATAAATAAATATATATTATTCACCATAGATTATAGATAACTTACCCGATCACATAATTGTTCGTCATTTCGTCTTCGACGCGTTGGAGCGCGTAGAATTCTGCCATCGGTAGCATCCATAATCTTGTAATTTTTTATCCACACACACACACAACCAAATCCAATTCTTCACTCCACAAATTTATCAAAGACATAAGCGTGTAGAATTGCAATAACGTATACGGTTTGTGTCACTGCTGAACGAAGCAAAACATTTGTGTAGACTCTTGTGTTCGTTGAGTTTATGTCATAACCAAACGATCCTCATGAGGTAAGCGAGTAGAAAGGCGCTGAATGGAACGTAAGTGTGGATTATGTGTATCGATATATACTTTTTTTCTTTTTTGCTTTAGCTTTTTTTAATTTAATATTAGCATTTAATTAGTATAATTAATTATTAAATAATTTCGTTGCAATTGCTCATTAATTTTAATTATTTGGCAGTTGATCGACAAATTTTTTAAATTTTATATTTTTTTTTTTTTTTTTGATTATACGCAAATGAAGTGGTATTGATTATTTTTTTTTATTTGGAAGCAATAATTGGAACAAGAATCTGTAAAGATAAACAAAAATAAATTAGATGTGATATTATAAATTATTAATTTATATTTCATTAACTTAATTCAGGCTTTTAATTATATAGTATTTCTTAATTAAAATAATCGAAAAAAATTACAAGCCTTAGTAGTTGAAATTTGTTTATGGCAACATTATAAGACTTTATCCATTCAAAAGCTTTCGTCAAGTCGGGAAGTCAATAAAAATGCCTATCTGTTTACAATTTGAGCTTACGAAAATATTCGTTAAAATTGTAGAGTCACGGTGTCTCCTAAATCAGAGAAACAGAAGAAGGCACGACATTACCAAGTAACAGAACCATATATAAATCGCACCTGAAATAGAATCCAATTCAGGTCGCTGACATATACAGTTTGATAGATATACTTGTGTTTAGTTGGTAACACTTTATTCGCCTCACCCTGTATTGTGAAGCGGAAAATATTTAAAAGTGTAAACGTAGAAGATATGAACTTAGGAATATTAGAACGATAAGATAATGGTATTTGCTACAGTACTACAGTAATATCAGAAGAGTGAAACTCTACTCTTCTAGTAGCCATATAATACTAGATCCAGTAGCTCTTAAACTGGAACTAAAAAGCTATAGCAGAAAACGTTTTAGTAAATTTGGAATAAATTGGTTGGTTTTAAAATCTAATCTCATCTTTGACATAACATATCAAGTTGTGTTTCCAAAACAGTTTGAAAATTAATCTATTAATATATAATAATATGGTTGAAGATCACAGGAATCTGCTTCACTAAAAACAGAAATCCCTATTATCTATTTTTTCAATTGTTTGGAGAACATAGTTATAACATATGAAGCAGAGTCAATAATAAATGAGTTTAAATATCACAAAAATATAGATATTACTAATTTCTAGAAGTTGTTTTCCACCGAAATTATTGTGCTATTGGCTATTATCTTCTAGCTTTACCTTACATTATCTCTTCCTTAAGATTTTTTTTCATTTTTTTGAGTAGCCAAAAAAAAAAACTACTCCCAATATGATTTCTTGTGATCTGCAGTAGATTAGATTAGACTATGCTGACAGACCAAAAAGCCCACGCGTAGACCATTAAGGTCCATAACGATACCAGATCAGAGTCATATTTTAGCGAATGTGTGCATCACTTAGTATCCGCATTTTATTAGCGAATTTTTTTAGGATTTCAATAGAAACCTTAGGTATGTGCTCCAGTCCGGAAAAATATTTCCAGTCAGCTCCCAAATATTTTTGTCGAGTTCTCGATAGAGCCGGGCAATTACACAGCAGATGCTCTAGAGTGTAATCTGCAGTAAATAAACTCCTTTTTACTTAAATCGAAATTTGCTTTTATAAAATGGTAGGTTAACACCTGAAAAATACTCTCGATATGATTCTTTGTGCTTCACACTATGTTCACTCTTTTCTCTTCCATTATCTAAGGCAAAATGGGTGTTGTCTCCCATACGCAAATACGAAACGCAGACATTATGTGGAAGAATTCTCTTACACATTCATGCACTGGCTGTACAGTAAAATACAAAATATTAGAACCGAATACGCAGTTGAAATATACTTTTTAGTTAATTTTTGCGTTATAACAGGAGAAAACGAGATCTGCTAACTTTCTATCCTTCTAACAGGACAAAAAAAAATCTGTTAAATTTCTAACATTTATTTAATGATCTAGAAATGTGCATCTTTTTTAGGTTATACACGTTAATGACTTCAAGAAATTGCATATCTATCTAGTGAATTGAATATATAATATGGTATATAAAATTTTTATTTAGAATATTCGATACAGATAAGAAAGATAATAAAATAGGGTTTGTTTTTCCAGTTATTTCACATCTTGGATCTAGTAGTGTTTAAGTATGAACATGCACCCACTAATTTATTTTAGTGTAATTAATATGTTCAAACAGGAATATACTTAATAACCTTACGTTATTTATTTAGGGAGATAAACCGCAACAAATGTTTCCTTATGGTTACTTAATGGTAAATGGTAAATTAGTGCTTATTTAGACACATATGCCGCAACAAATGTCTTGTTATGGTTATCAGCTTATTATAAATTAGTGTGTATTTAGGCACATAAAATTTAATTGAAAAAATGAATGAATTCAAACTAGTCAACTTATATCATTTTATACAAATAGAATTTATAAATTGAAATGAAAATCATAAAAAGGATCGGACCTTAGATGTTTTTATTATTTATATATATATATATATATATTTAGATTTAAGTGCGATTAATATAGTCTGCACTATTTCAAATTGCAAAAACCAATAAGAAAATGTGAGGGACGATAAAATCCCTAAAAACATAAAAATTTCATTAAATGTTGTTGAATATTTGAATGCTTCGTTCCTCCTCTCTTGGTTGTGGTGTTGTATTTATGCGGTTCAGCACTATTTTCAGATACGGATGGAAGTTACAATTTTGGAATTGTACAAATTCGGCAAAGGATGAATTATGAAGACGAAGGAAATTAAAAATTCAAGGTTTTGTAATTAAAAGCATTTCAATGCTGTTTTTGGCATAAAGAATGAAATGGAAATTGGTTTGCGGTGAAAGACGGAAACAACATGAAAATACGCGGAAAGGAAAAACAAATGTTTTTCTTGTTCGCGATTTGATCAAAAATATCTCAAACCACAGTTTGCTTTTAAATGCTTTTAGTTAAAATAAAAAATAAACTGAAAGTAATTAATTTAGTAAACCGAGATTTAAATTGAGAGTAGCATTATGCAGTCAGTTAAAGTAAGAAATTCGCAAAATTGATACATTGTCATGTTAAAATTTAATCGAAATTATTTATTAAACTTTATTACTTAACAAGTTTTATTTTAGTTTTTTCTTTCTTCATTATCAAAAACTTGTCCGATATTATAGAAGGTAAGATATGCCTACAAAACTCTTTAACAATCTAAAAAATATCTTCGCAAGATATTCAATCACTCTGACCTATCAATTTTCTTCTTTTCGAGTTCTTTCACTTGCTTTGTTGTACCTCTAAGTTACTCTATAATGTTCACTATTTCAAGATGTAAACGATAACACTAATTCTTCAAAGAAATCTATAACTAATACTAAATTTTTTAATAGCTACATGAAGACAAATTGATGAAGATAAATTCTAACGTAATTTACAGTTATAACTACCTTCAGCAACCTACGAAGTATCCTTTAGGTTAACCAATTTATTTAGGTAACATAATAATGGAACATCATAGAATATTGCGCATTAATGAAAACATTTATATACTCCATTGATTGTCTGACTGTGAATAATATCTGGAGATTCTACTATCTAACATTGCTCTACCGCTTATAACTCATTATCATCGAAACAATCAGCAATAGCATAATTAGTGATAAATAGTGATATTGTATACTATATTCTAATTTCTTACTTACTAAATTTAGTTCAAAATAAGTGTCCATTTAGTGTACGACATCATGAGTTAAAAACAGCTGTGTGCTTAATGTGTCAAGTTTTATTTGGGTATCTAATAGTTAATGTTTAACTAATTACACACACACACAAGTACCAATATAAATTATTGTGACTTATTTGCAATTACAGTTCAAAACTGTCATGAGAAGTGCCTTATGTCTTATATCACGAGCTATAAGCACATCCAGAAGCTGCGACAGTTGCAACAACATATTAGTTTATATTTTAAACATAAAAGATTTCATCAATCGTAGTTGATAGACCTTCAATGCAGCTACCACAGTACAAACTTCATAACAGTAGAATTGAAGTTTAAGATTCCCAAAAGGTTCCTAAATTAAGATGTAAATCGATTAGGTATAATATACCAATTTAATATAAAGTCTATCTTTAACTACTAAACTAATTCGTTAGTTAATAAACGTTGGGCCATCTAGTAGACATCTAGTCGAGTATCAAAGAAAACGACACCACGCACAGAAAATTTCTCTATTGAATTGATAGAAGTAGAGATTATTACCAGTCAGTTGACTAAAAATACATTCAACAATGTTTTACTGAAAACCACTAAATCTACACTATTTTCAATTCGGATTTTTTTATTCAACTCAAATGGCACGAAAAATGGAAATATGAAAAAAATATACTCGTATGTATGCTTGTATACACAATAGAAAACTTTGTGAAATTTCAAAAATTGTTTTTGGAAACGATATTTCAATGAAAATTTGCTACAGTTGTCGATACACTTGAAATTACATCAGGAAGGAAGGGAAGCCACTACTGTCCGATCAATTTGTAATAGTAAGTGATTTAAGCTTGCCAAACAGTCAATATCAGATGAAATGCCCACTCAATGTTACTAACATCAAGGAAAGACAAAAAGGAAGTGCTAATGTACGGACAAATCAAGGTTTCATATGACATCTAACCTCTATGCTATCGAGTCAGTGAGTCAGTGAATCCTATACAGAATTCGAGGTGTGGTGGAATGTTAACGAGCCATTATTGAATCAACTCTGAACTCATACACAGTTGTGCAGTTACAAATTTATATGTAAACATGCGATTCAGTACTTGTAAGCCTCGTTTAGTTTGTGGTCGCCAAAGGTGAAAATAGCATCAAATAGAATAATGCACTCTATTCTATATGTGCTATGCAGTAGACAAATAAAAATAGAGAAGTAAATAAGATGTAAGGTAAAAAAAACCTCGTTAGGCTTTAAACTTGCTATAGAAATTTTTGTTAGAAAATGTTAAAAAAAGTTAAAAAGTTTTTGGAACCACTAATACCTAACAATGGGTTCACTTACCTCAACAATTTCTAACTCTAAAATTCTAATAATATTATACGATAAATATAAAAATTATAGCCTGATAAGGAAGATTATTAATTTAATAAATTTTACTTCAACTTTAATTGTTTTTTTTTTATAACTCTTAAGGTTAGAAAATTATAAATAATTCTATATTTTACAATTAGTCAGATCAAGTATTCCATAAAAGCAGTACACATGGCCACATTAGATGTG